TATGCTTTATATCGACGTTACAAGTTCAGGATAAGAAATTAATCTGCAGTTATGAATTCCAAATTTCAGTATATATATATATATATCGTAATTGGCATGGTCTACAGTAAAATAATCAAAGGTCATAAAGTTTATGCTTTATATCGAAGTCATAGAGTAAAGTGAATTGTGTGTTTGAGGGCAGTGTCCTTTTCTTTAAATTCAATTACTTGAATATACTATAATATTATACACCAACTGCAATAATCTACACTACAGTAGTAAAATCATGGTAAAATAATCAAAAGTCATAAAGTTTATGCTTTAAATCTACGTCATGAATAAAGCGAATTGTGTGGTTGAGGGCAGTGTTTTTATTTCTTTAAATTCAATTACTTGAAAATACATTTAAGAACCTGAGACATCATCATGTTTATGACTTATGAAAACCCGTATGTTTGTCAAGATTTAGACTAGCATGCAAATAACAGTCAAAATGATTCACGAATGCATATCTAATTATTATAAACTGAATACAATTTATTTTATAATTACACATGAGACATTACAAATATTTTCCTTCTACATTATTCTTAGTTAACATCAAAGAACCACTTTCCTCCTCAATAAATATTTGAAAGGCTTTTCTTCGCCATTGTAAATTTCCAATTTCTAATCGTTGTGTATATCGAATTTATTTATTAAATTACAATTAAAAATAATAATTAACAGTGCCAATTCATCCCAAGTTCAGTCATTAAAGATAGTTTTTGTATACACTCTAATTGTTGTTATTAAATATATTATTTTAAGCATATTGATTTGTCCTTTTTAAACAGTAAAAACCCCTACAAGCTATAAATATTCACGATGACTTTAAAAACGACCTTAAAATGAGATTTGTCTTATTGCATTAAGAAGAGCATAAAAAATGAAAATTCACATTGTCAATAGATGTATCTTTAAAAAATCAACTGTATTTAGTATATTTTTGATTTAAATTAGATGGAAGTTTACTCAAAACATCAACTTATGAGTTGTTTTGTCGTGTCAGGGCCACGTGTAGTAAGGCTAGTCCCTAGTCTAGGTCTTTGGTATGGTCCACCTGGTCCTACGATCTATTGTTGAATCAGTCGTCTCCATATCCATCTGCAATGTCGTCTCCATATCCATCTGCAATGTCGTCTCCATATCCATCTGCAATGACAAATTGTAATGGGAATATATTACTACTTTGTAAATCCTAAATTAATCGTTCTCTGTACAAAGACGACATATAATAATAATATTCAAAATAATATAAGTATATTATTATATTATATACAGCTGAAGCAAATTTATTCAGATTCAAATTTGTTTCAAAATATGCGAACAGTGACAGTGGTGGCGGCGGCATCATAAAATACATAAGAAAATTTTACAGTCGAAAGGACTGTAAAATGAAAAGGAAGTCAACTCAAACAAGGCTTAAAATCAACTTCAAGATAAGGGTTTAGATATCAGGATCTTGCACTAATCTTTTACTGCATTTATATATAAACTATGCAATTAATGGTTTACAATATAATCTTTAATTATTTACAGTATAGATATATACTACATAACAATTAATACTTTAAAATATAATCTTTAATTATTTACAGTACAGATATATACTGTAACAATTAATGCTTTAAAATATAATCTTTATTATTTGCTTAAGGGCGTAGTATGCTGCCCTGTCATAAAAAAAAACCACTCAACTGACAATTTTAAAGCGATAAAAAAATATGAACATACCTTGCTCTTCTGAATAAGAGTATCGCATTTTGATTACCCTACTGTCATCTGTAAGCATACTTAAGTTTTGTAGTATGTCTCCGGCTTCCTCGCAGAATGTGATGATTACATCTGCTAACATCATGTCTTTGTTAAAGTTCTAGAATTAACAGAGAAATAATAGTGAGAGAGGTTAACATTTGGTTTAGCCATGATATAACTATTATTATTAATTTGTCAACACTGTATAGATAATAATAATAATAATAATAATAATAATTATTATTATTATTATTATTGTTATTATAATAATAATAATAATAACAATAATAATAATAGTAGGTAGCTAGTAGTAGCTAGGCCCCTAGCATAGCGCAAGGCCCTAATTGCTATTATTGTTGTATTTTGTACCTTAAAATCACAGATATTTGTCAAACATTGGTACTAGACTCCAGTACCTGGTACACACAATGAATTTGAATGTGGATCGTAGGTTTCCATTGGTCAGTTTCGTAAGGTTAAATGATTGGCCAATCACAGCAGGGCATATAATGATGTCATTCACTCCGCCGGGTATGGGGAGGGGGGAGGGACCTGAAATGACATATCACTACCACATGGAAGATGATACCAATGACAATAGAAATAATTAGATATATGAATAAATAATTAATTAATGAGGCCTAATGATAATTAATTATTTGTACTGCTACAGAATCTTTTGTAACCAAACATAACTAACTGTTACAATGCTAACTGTGTGCAGTTACATACGTCCACTGTATGTTTACAGAATCATTTTGTTGCACAATAGACGTATACACAAAACTACTGTAACAGCATGGAGGAAATAATTCCTCCATGGTAAAAGTATGTAGGCCTATCTGTTGCATTACAAGCGATTTGTTTGTATTACTACAGAATCTTTTGTAACAAAACATAACTGACTTTATTACAAAGCTAACTTTGTTCAGCTACATACGACTTCCAATGTATGTTTACAAAATCATCATTTGAAGTACAGATATTTTTTACAGTGAAGTAGGGGTGTAAAATAATACCTGTAGGCCTATATGCGTCGAAGCCACGTTTCTGGTGCAATAAAAAAATGGTTGAAATCTCCCGATTTTACTCTTTTTAACGTTAATAAATGAAGGAGCTATCGAAATATCAGTTTGATATTATAATATTTTAATAAATTTGTATTCCATTCGACAACATTCTATCATTTTACATCGTCTTATTGCTTTTATATTTTATTTCACTTAGAGCATAGAGAAATAACACACATTGTAAACTACGGTATTGCTATTATTTTTATTTTTATTCTATTTTTTTTTTTGTTGTTGAAATAATACATTTCCAGCATGCCCTTCATCAAGTAAAAAAGATGAAAAAATTGATCGAAACCATTTTGAAGAAATCGAAAGTTAAATTATAGGCCTACAATTTCTACACCGGCACAACTCTACATATACACGTCAAATTTGAAATTCCCTTAACTCCTGAAGATTGCCTAGTGCATGAAACAGGCTGTAGAGTGAAATTACAAGTTCCTTATTATTAGTATTATTATATATA